TACAGTGAACAGCATCCGCTCTCCTTGCCAGCACAGAAACTCCTCCGCCGCCTTCTTGACCCTCCTGTGAGATCTACAGAGGACATCCAGCAGATCTCAGAAATGGCAGCAGAAAAGCAGAGCAGCGTAGAGAAAGCCCTATGTATATCTTGCTTAAAAGATTGATAGCAATTTCTGCCCAGCATGGTGGGAAGGACTAATGTCAGTGGTTAACACCAGCATAATTTCATTCCTAGAAGTATTTCACAACGTGGCGTTTTCTTTGTTTTCCACTCAGAATCACTCATTATCATGTGCAAATGCAAGTTTAAAAGGTGGGGGTGGCACACAGACAGCTAAGCGTGATTGAACCCCTCTCGCCTCCCAAAAGCTGAACCCAAGTGCTTGCTTTGATGGATTGCCTTTTTTCTTTTTTTTTCCCCATTCGAGGGGAATTTCCAGTCTAAACCAAAGGGCTGTCACTTGTCCGTCTGTGTGATAAAACCAAGCTTGCACCCCGCAACGCTGGCACGTTGTCGGCAGCCCCGCTGCTGGTCTGGGGGTGGTCTCAGGCGGCGGTGCTTCAGGCTGTCCCCGTGCCAGGGCTGTCGCTGCCGGTCGGGCGGCTCATCTTTAGCCTTGGTTTTTACATCTCATCTTCTGAAACGTCTTTACAGCCTCTGAATCACTTGGGGTGATTGGAAGTCCGAGTGGCCTCCTGCCCAGATGGCTAATATCAGCGGCTCTCCCCTGCGCCCTCATGTAAAGCATCAGCATCATTTTCCTTGGGTTTATTTATTTTATGGGTTTTTTTTAAAAAAAAAATAAAGGACAAACAGTGAAAGCTGTCCATTTCCTGGAGCAGCTCATTTGTTTCGTACTGCTGCAGTTTGTTTCCGTTTGGATAGAAGGGAAAAGATAAATGGATAAAGAGGATAGGGAGGGACCCGCAGGAGAGCTGGCGTGGGATGTCATCCCTCCTGCATGATGCCGTGCGGCTGGAATGTCTGTCTCAGCGGTGAACGTCACACGTATGAAATGGAAGGAATATATACTGCAGCTGAAGTGGCAGCACTGGAGAGAAAGTATTTTCTCAAGTTTCTGGGTAATGCCAAGAAAGCCATCCGCTAAGGACTACAGATACCATTTGTTTTCAGCTCTGGGCTTGGTAATGGAGCACGTTCGAGGAGAGTTTATTGGGTTTTTTGCTGCCTTCTCCATGTGGTTTTTCATAGGAGCTGCAAAGCTCAGCCCTGGGTGGTGGGATGGTTTGAGAGTCCATATAGTGTCTGACTCATAACCACAACACAAACCCTAACTGGGTTTTTCCCCTTTTTTCCCCCGTCCCTCTCTTAAAAGTAAATAAAATTAATACAGGAAACAGCTCCTCTGAGCAAGCATTTTTTTCTCCCAGGTGCTTCTTTTAGCTGTCTTGGTAGCTTCCCTCACCACCCCATATGGCCTCTCCCATCTGCTCTGCCATCTCTCTCACGTGTCCTGGCAGCTCCCACTGCCTCTCCGGACTCGCCATCCCGTCCGTCCATCCTGCTCCGCCCTCCTCGGAGTCCCTGGCTGGCCCCTGGGGCCAGTGCCTCCCTCGGCATCCCCTGTCTCCCACCGCCTTGCGTGGCCGTTAGGAGTTTCACCCTAAGCCTTGCTCGGCTTCTCTTGAAGTCGCTCCTCTTCACCCGCCTGTGAGCTGGGGTGGAAAGTCACAGGCTGGTGCTCGTAGACAGCTTTACCCACCTGGAAGCCTGGGAATAACCCAAACACTGACGATTTGATGTGGCAGGTATACAGCAGAGGCTACATATTACTGTTCTATTACTTTTTTTTTATTGTATTACACTGGTTTATGTACTTGCAGCTGTGTCTGGATGTTCCTGGATGAGGTTTAGTTCAGTCCAGAGATTATTTCGTAGAAGAAGAGCGCTCCAGGGTTTTGCAAACCTTGTGGTTGGCTTCTCTGCTCCAAGACCGCATCCCCGTGGCATCGGCAGTGGGTTGTGTGTATCTCAGTGCTGTAATGGGGGTGTGCAAGAGGAGGTGAAGAGGTGTATCTGCTTCGTGTGTGTGTCTACAGGAGTTCAAATAAGTAAGAAAATACCACATATATATATATATACTCCCTGTATTTTTACTGAGTGTTTTTGTGGTTGCTGTCTGCTACTGTAGTTCAGCTGGGGACTGTGATCATGGTGTTTGTATCAGCTAATAAGGCTGTCGTTTTATGTGGGAATTTCCTATGCATTTTTAAAAATACCTTCTTAAAGGAAGCCCTGAAAAGTTATCTGAAAAGGGAACTGGAAGAAGGCCAGCTGTTATGTGCTGATGGGAGGAAATGTGCTGGAGAGGCCAGGGGTTTGCACAGGCTCTTCCCGACACCAGGTACGAGTTTTTTCCTTTCCAGCAAGGACCCTGCCTCTCACGGGGGAGGATGGGCCTTGCTGCTTCTTTGCCCATCTTTCTGGAGCTCAGGAGTTTCTCTGAACAGTGGCTTCCCTCACCGGAGGGGACTGCCATGGACCTGTGAGTTGTCCCAGCAGGTTGGAAGTCACCTCAGCTTTGCCATCGTCCCCCTTCCCCGTGGCAGCCCTGGCCGCGAGCGTGGAGCCCGTCGGCTCCAGCTGCGTTACAGACATCGATTCAAACACCCAGGTCTCCTCTGAACGAGAAGATTTCGCAGCCTTTTCCTGGTGGGATCCTGGCAGCCTCAGAGATGCTTTGCTTTAAAAAAAAAACCCCACAGCATGATTATTTATAAAGAAGAGATTTGATGTCACTGTCCAAACCGGCTGTGTATTTGTGTGGCTTCTGTCTGGACAGTACCAAGTGCCTCCAGAGTATTTACAATTAGAAATAACAGTAAATATCTGTTTTCCCCTGACTGCGAGATAAAATCTGTGTCTTGCTGCATTTTTTCATATGCATTTACTATGAGAAGCATGTATTAACAGGAAAAGTTAAGTGAAAGAAAGAGCATCACTTGTGAATGTGCTGCAGCAGAGCAGGGTGGTCCTCTTGGTCCTGCAGCATCGGCAGTGCTTTCCAAAACCATCCCCGTCCTCACAGAAACCTTCCTTCAGCACCTCTTTACACCTTTCTCCTTGCAGGTGATACCGCTACAGCTTGAAACCACCACCCCATGTGCTGTCTGTGAGCCACAGAGGGGGCTTCCCGGAGGTTTCCCCTCCAGGCACCCCCGAGGCAGGATCAGCACTGGCTTACAGCCCGTGGAGAGGGTTGTCCAGGGCCACCAGGGAGTGGGGACCCCTGAGCTACCTCGGAAAGGCACTGCGTGACCCCAGCTTTCCGGCTTGTAACGCAGGCGTGGACAGTAAATCTGTGGAAAATTTGAAGTGCTCAAGTGATGGCAATGTAAGTTCAAGAGAAAGATGTGCCTAAATCCCCTCGTCTTGTACTCGGAGCCTGGATTTTAGGGAGGCTGACAGGTCTTTTGATGTTTATGTTACAAGTCGGTACCAGCTTTGGGTAATAAACCTTTGTTCTCCTTCTTCCTGACCCCGTCGTCCGATTCCAGGACTCTCCTAGGCATCCAGAAGCATCCAAAGGTCAGCAGGACCCTTGTCGGTTAGAGGGCTGCGTGTGCCGATGGATTGCTGCCCGGTTCTCCAAGGTGTTTGCCTTGGGCCAGCTCCGGGTGGTTGAGACCCCCCTGTCTGCAGAGGCGGCGGGGGTGATGCTGTTTGAACCAGCAGGATGGTGATACACCGGTGATGCAGAAACACAGATCTGCCAGGCTCAGCTTGTTGCTGACAGATATCCCCACGTGCTGCATTTCTCCCAGGTGAAGCGTTGCCGCCGGTACCACCAGTGCGCCGGCAGTGCTCTGGTTTGGTTTGGGCATCCGTGGCTGAAAATCAGTTCGGCAGATCCGAGGTAGTTTGCACAAAGGCCGCCTAGGTCCCTCTGTCAGCTGCCTTGCCCCGCTCTCTAGCCAGAATCGTCAGAAATTGTCAGATGCAGCCCTGCCAGTATCAAACGGGAGGGAGAGGCAGATTTTTTTTCCTTGTTTCTTGGATGAGGAGTGTCTCCAGCTGCTGCTGCCGCCGGTGGCAATGAGGACGGCCGCTGGAAAGAGAAAAAAATTACTGCTCCAAGCCGTGAGCTGCCGCGTGCTTTGGAGACGGGGCATCGCACAGGGACGACCTGCCCTCCCTCGCCGCGTCCCGCGGCAGCAGTTCCCCGCGCTCTGCGGGGGTGCGGGATTGGGATGGCGATGCTACGGGGCTGCTTTTACCTATGCAGGACCAGGAGATGGGCATTTCCGAGAAGGGGTGACGCCTTCCAGCAAGCGAGTGGCATTTCTGATGCTGAAACCCAGTTGATGTATACCTCAGGGAAGGATTTGGCCCTTTGTTTCTGGGTGCTAGGTGAGATCAGCACAGCCGTGCTCTCCCCCAGTGCTTTGTGTTTGTTTTCTGGTGCTGCCGGTGCTGCTAAAGGCTATCAGCCTGCTTCTGTGTTCAATATCCTCCACATGGAAAAGCACGTTTCATTTTTAAGATTAAAAAAAAAAAAAAACAACAAAACCCCACGCACACACACAAAAAAAAAAAACCCAAACAAACATAAAACACAGCGTGGCACAGATTAAATCCATTTGAGACGACTCGAAAAAAAACCCGCCGTATGTGCAAGTCAATAGGAGGAGGGGAGTGGAAGGGGGAAAAAGCAACTGTGACATATACAAACCCTTTAGTGTGCATAGCATAAGATTTTTTGGCTGGCACTCACATGATTTTATTCAAGGGCTGGGAAAGAACTACGATTAGTTAAAAGCTTCGGCAAAGTCTGGAGGGAGTGCTCTGAAGAGTTGGGAGCCGCGCAGAGGTGACTGTAACTCCTCTCGCAATTTCAGACTATTCTTCTGTGGCTCAGGACAAAAGCCTTTTCTTTTCCCTCCGTGTTCAAAGAGACATTTGTCTTGAGATGTTGCAGCTGTGGGCCGCGGGATTGCTTGTTTGAAGATACCCCCTCGTAGACGAAAGGAGAGGCAACGCACTGAAAAGTGGTAGTATTTTATCGTGTGTGGGTTCCCCCCCCTTCTCCTCCCTCCCTCCTCCTCCACTGCCATGTGTGGTTTTTAATAAGAAGAAGAATGTGGAGGCAACATTTTCCAGGCAAGGGGAAATTTCCTGTTTCTTTTCTGTTTGTTTAATAAAGTGTGTAGTTGACTGTAAAACTGTAGCTACTTTGTCGTGAACGGGTAATTCAGGCGAGTGTCAGGATTGCTTCTTGATGCACTTTTATATACTGCAAGTGAACATGTTTAAAGCCTTTTATTCTTTTTTTTTTTTTTTTTTTTTTTTTTTTTTAATGCTGCGTGGCGTAGGCAACTGAGATTAATAAGAATTAGGCAAATGGCTTCTGCTTTTGTTTCTGTGAGATAGTACCAGCCGTCTTGCGGTCACACAAAGGCTGCCATTTAGCAGGGAGCACTCCCTAATTCTCTTGGCAGGGGTGCCATTGGGATCGGATACAAGTGGGTGGCAAAGGGGAGGAGCGGCAGGAGAGGACAAGCAGGCTTTGTGTATTAAAAATGAAACAAAAGCACTTTATACGCGGGGCTGCGTGCAACAAGCAGCGCTGCCTGTGAGCCGGGGTGGAGTTTGAGTTCTCAGTGTGACTGCAAAACCTTTTCTTTTTTTTTTTTTTTTTCCCTTTTTTTTTTTTTTTTTCTTCAAC